ATAATAATATAAATATTTTTGTTATTAATTTTTGTATTTATTAACAAAAAAATTGCCGATTTCTTAAGTTCTAAATAAAGGATAGAATAATGGATTTTAAAATGTAAGTGCAAATAAAATCGCGAATTCTCACATGCAAAATCATCACTAGTCAAGCAGTTAAGATAATTATCAAATAAAATAATAATTTAATTATAATTTTTACCATCTTTTTTCACATTGATAAGTCAATTTAGCCTAGAATAATACTTATCGATCAAATTCAAACTGTGACTTTGGACACCATTTAATTACCTATGATCTGCATTGAAAAATGATATTGAGCATAGATCGTCATTTGATTTTTAGACGCGTTCCATAAACTTCTAGTTTTCGTTATCGATTAATTCACGACAAAAACCAAGATCGCATTGTCCTTAAAAAATGGCAAATGCACTTCTCGAGATACCACAACTACAGGACGATCTTTTTAACGAACGCGTTACATTCTTCAAAGAGTTTTTAGAGTCTGCCGTATCTTTTTGAATTTTACGTTTAGAGTTAGGACGCGCATTATTGAAAATTAATGCATCTTTCAAACTTTAATTACCTTGATATGCTTAAGCGTACAAAAGAGAGCTGATGCTTTAAAAAAGATTAACCACAATAATATTGTTTAGCCGCTAGAATAAACGCGTTAAACTCGATATTTTTCTAAGATTTTTAATATTTATATATGAAAGTATATTATTACACCTTAACTTATTCATTGGATATAAATTTTTAGTTTTCTGGTAATTATCTTAAAAATGAATTATCACGACTAGCAAGAGATGGTCAACGGCGTCTGATAGTGAGCATTGATGATTTGTTTGCATATAATCAAGAAAAGACTGTTGGGTTAGTTTATTAGTCCGTTGATTAATTGATTCGAGGAAGATGCTTATATACTTTTTCATTGTTTGGCACTACAGAATCAAAGAATCACCCAACGAGTATATTCCTCCTTTTGAAAAAGCCTTCAAAGATCTCATGGTTAAAAAGCATAATGTAAATTTACCAAATGCCGAAGAACAGCAATTTTATGTGGGTTTCAAAGGTAGTTTTGGAGATCATCATCAGAATCCGCGCACTTTGACAGCGGCATATCTTGGAAAATTAGTCTGCATTGATGGAATCGTAACGAAATGTATGTAGTCATAGTCGCATTTATGAAAATATTGTAGCTTATTTTTGATTTTCTCCATTTCCAGGCTCATTGGTTCGCCCGAAACTCGCTAAAAGTGTTCATTATTGTGAGAAAACGGGAATGTTTCATAGTAAAGAATATCGCGATGCTACCATGACAGGAAATCAGCAGCCGAGCTCTTCTGTATATCCAACTGAAGACGAAAATGGCAACCCACTCACCACAGAATTTGGATACTCTGTTTATCGTGATCACCAAACAATTTCTCTTCAAGAAATGCCAGAGCGAGCACCTGCTGGAGGGTTACCGAAATCTTTGGACGTAATATTGGATGATGATTTGGTTGATTCGGTGAAGCCTGGTGATCGTATTCAGCTGGTGGGAATTTATCGATCATTGGGAAATCGAAATGCAAATTCGACTTCATCTACTTTCAGGTAATGAATTATTGACTGGTTATCTTGATTGACTTTATGATTATATTCATCAACTTTTCTTCTTTATCATACAGAACCGTCGTCGTTGCAAATAATATTTATTTACTTTCAAGTAAAGCTGGTGGTGGTATCGCCAAGACAAATGTAACAGAACAAGATATCGAACACATTGAAAAAATCAGCAAGAAAAAGGACCTGCTTGAAATACTTTCGCGATCTTTAGCCCCTTCAATATGTGGCCACGAATACATAAAGAAGGCTATTCTACTTTTACTTTTGAGCGGTATGGAGAAAAATTTGCCAAATGGCACTCATATAAGAGGGTAAGAGAATATTTAGTACTTGAATTAAAAAATTTTATAGTTTTCAATATTAATTCCCTTACCATTTATTATGTGTTGTTGAATAGCGATATCAATATTTTAATGGTAGGTGATCCCTCTACCGCCAAATCACAACTGTTACGGTTTGTTCTGAATACCGCACCTCTTGCAATCGCGACAACTGGTCGTGGATCATCTGGTGTAGGTTTAACAGCGGCGATAACAACAGACAAAGAGACAGGTAATTTAACTTTGAGTTTTCAAGTTGAAAATGGAAAATCTTATCAAATAATTTATTAATATAGGAGAAAGACGTCTGGAGGCTGGTGCAATGGTTCTTGCAGATCGTGGAGTCGTCTGTATTGATGAATTCGATAAGATGAATGAGAACGACCGTGTGGCAATACATGAAGTAATGGAACAACAAACTGTGACGATCGCTAAAGCTGGTATTCATACTTCATTGAACTCTAGATGTAGTGTTATTGCAGCTGCAAATCCAATATACGGTCAAGTGAGTTATTTTTCTTATTTTGCAATCATATATTTAAATAGAAACTTCGAGCTTCTTACATGCTTCTTTTATCAACTATTAGTATGATGTACATAAGCATCCAACGCAAAACATTGCACTACCGGATTCGCTTTTATCCAGATTTGATTTGTTATTTGTAGTCACTGACGAAATCAGTGAGGCACGAGACCGCATGCTCTCAGAACACGTGTTGCGAATGCATCGATATATGCTGCCAAATCTAACAGCAGGTAAAGAGAAATAATATGAAATTATTGAGGTTCAAAAAGATGAAGTTAATAATTTGTTTTTTCAGGCACACCGATAAATGATACTCCCAGTCAAAGTTTATATATGGGAGAAGATGAGAAAAATACGAACGCCGAAGAGCCAATTTGGGAGCCATTTAATGAGCTCTTGCACGGAAATGTACAACGAAAACGAGCCGGAAGATCTGCTACCAAGCATGTAAACATTCTTACAAATTCTTTTCTGAAAAAATATATTCAACATGCCAAGGATACAATGCAACCGAAATTGGGGAAACCGGCAGCAGATTTTATTGTGAACGTTTACGCAAATCTTCGGAATAGCAGTAATGATGACGGACAAGCCAAGGTATGATTTTATTATTTTTTACAATATTATTTTTTTTCAAGTGTGATTTACTTACGTTTCATTAATAACTCTCACGCTTAGACATCTCCCATAACAGCTCGTACGTTAGAAACGCTTATTCGTCTTGCAACTGCACATGCTAAATCCAGATTAAGCGATGAAGTTGAGGAAGAAGATGCAAAAATTGCCGAGGAAATTGTCCGATTTGCTTTATTTAAAGAGGTTATCCCACCTCAGAGACGAAGCAAACGGCAAAAAAAATCACATCTCAGTGATGAAAGTGACGACGACGACGACGATGATGATGGTAACGATGGTAACGATGACGATGATTATAACGGTGATAATAATGAACACAATCAAGAACCAAATGAGAACTCGAGGCGTAAGAGAAAAGAAAAAAGGTAGATGTGAGCTCTTGTATTCATTTAGTGAAACATATGAAAATTAACTTCTAATTATATTTGCGCAGAAAATCCTCTACGCCACCACGTTCAACCCGTCGCACAAGCATGATAAACGGTCATGATAGTATCAGTCGCCAGCAGTCTGCGTTGGCTGATTCAATGATGGAGGATCTTGTATTGGAAGATCCCATCACGGCTGCACAAGATCCGGGAGAAGGATCTTCGACGGCTGCATCCGGTATTCCTACATCCAGGTAACAATAATTCCTTTCCAAAATATTATACCATACTAATATCAAACTAACTACTCCAATTATTAACATTAATCATAGATTAAATTTATTCAAAAATAAATTGAGTGATGTGATGAACTCGACGATTTTCGATGGTCAAATGATTCTTGGAACTCTTTTGCCGGAAATAAATAAATTACTCGAGGCAGATGAACAATTCAATGAAGAAGAAGCTGATCGCATATTATTAGCAATGAACGATAAGAATCTGATAATGTATTCAGGAGGAATTATTTATCAGGTTTAGATTTATTGCGAATAATATATCTAAATTGGCCGCATTCTAGCTTCATTAGTAATCTATTACGTGAGCGGAGGTTGATTATAAGCCAATCAGAAGGCAAAGATATTAAAATTCTGAATTGGCGCGGGATAATGGATTTTTGATTTTTATTGGAAACTGTATAGAAATTTGTTTGTCGTTTGTATTTAGCATTTTATTAATCCAAAATTTTGAGGATTCTAAATCCTCTCTCCTTCGCTTTGGAAGTTTTGCGTGTACTCCTTTATCGTTATTTTAAACAAATAAATTTAAAATTAATCTCAGGTATATGACTCGATAAAAAAATCACGTGTTTACCTCATGGTTATAATAAAATTATATTACCTAATATATAATTTTTGTGCATAATTTTTAGCAAAAATTTTTTTAAAATAAAATTTTCCAAAAATCTCGTAATTAAACCATGCCTCTCGAATCAACGTAAGTAAAGTTTTTATGAATTAAGAGCTTCTTTCGTTTACAAAATTTAAATGCTTTGACTCTTTTATTGCTAGACCTCAAAAAAACTTAAATGCATTGATTCTTTTATTGCTAGACCTCAAAAACATAGCTGGGCAGACGAAGTAGGGGAAGAATTCGGTAAAATAAATGAAAATTTTGATCTCTATGCAAAACTTGTCAAGTGAAGCTTAATTTATTAAACAACGCATATTTTTGGATTTAGATCAACTTCCTTCTGATAATTTAACCGAAGAGGCGGGAATTAAAACTGTAATAGAAATTCGAACTAACGATGAAGGGAAAAAAGTCAAAGTAAATGCAAAAGAGAATATAAGTTTGGATGTCATCAAAGAATTAATATTAAACTTCAAAGCTTACATGAACAGATTACGAGAAAAATAAAAAAGACATTAATAACTACGCATGTTAACAAAGCTGTGGCGGAGAGAAAGGTACTATAGTAATTCTTAATATACATCATGGATCTCTTACTATGCTCATGTCAAGTTTGCATCTCTTCTAATAACTATTCCTGTTTCTATTATGATTACATAGAAATGGGAAAAATTTGGTGAAGAGAAGGGTAAAAAGGATGGCCCTGATCTTAGTACTACGAGCGTAGGTGAACAAATATTTCTGAAATTATCTACCACCGGCAAGGTAAGAAAATTTAGCAATACTCGAATTTGTCAATTGATCACAAACTGAATATTCATATTACAATCTTTCATCATCAGCAAGCAGAGGTTACGGAAGATATCGATTCGGCAAAGAAGAAGTTATTACTTGGCAAAAAAATACTCTGTCGTATTTGTAAAGGAGATCATTTTACCACAAAATGTCCATACAAAGATACACTTCAACCTTTGGATGAACTTACAACCGCTTTAGAGGAAGTAAAAAATCCTCGTATGTGTTTAATTTTTCATGTATTTTTATGCCTTTTTTTTTTGCTTGAATTACTGATAATATGGGTATTCATATAAATTAAATAGCAAATGTGGAAGCAGCACCTGCTGAAACAACAACAGGTCCTACTAAATATGTTCCTCCGAATGCACGTGCCGGTGGTAAGACAGCGTCGACTGATTCCTATTCTAAGGAGAGACGGGGTATGTTAATATTATATCAGTATTATACATCATCAGTATTTCAACCAATCCTAAATATGTGTTCGTTATTTATTTAATTCTCGAATTAGATGACGCCACAATTCGTGTCACAAATCTATCAGAAGATACCACTGAAAACGATATTCATGATTTATTCCGACGTTTTGGCTCAATATCTCGTGTTTATTTGGCACGAGATCGAGAAACAAATGTATGTAAAGGCTTCGCATTCGTCAGCTTTGTATTACGTGATGACGCAGCGAAAGCCTTACAAGCAATTAATGGTTACGGATACGATAATTTAATTTTGCGTGTAGAATGGGCAAAGTAAGTATTTTCGAGAAATTTTATTTGGTATTATTTTTCTCGAATTGACTAACCAATTCCTCTGTACTATTCTTAGATCATCTACTTAAAGCTGAAATCATCTTCATTATTAATTAATTAATAAAAATAGCTTTAATTCCTGATTAATTTATGAATAAAAGTAATGGTAAAGTTAGCTTTTAAGGCGACTTGTGATATCTAATATTTAAATAATTTGCTGATTCATATATGAACTAAAAGATTAATGAAAGATACATGATCTTGCTCGAATTGTATTACTAGATAATATATATTTGTATATAATCATTAAACAGTACTTGATCGTTGAGGACCAGTGTCCTCATCATAATAATCCATGGGAAGTTCCTCAAAAACTTTCATCCCCGCTTTAACTTTAGCCAATGGTGGGATGCTATCCATTGCACCAGGTCTGCTAACGGCAATTCCAGCAGCAACAGTTGCCGCTTGTAAGGCTCTTATATAGCACTCTTTAGTGAGAACAAAACTATCACGATTTGCACTCTCTTCACGAATGATGCTGGCGACAAAATATCCAATGAATGTATCACCCGCTGCTGTTGTATCAATCACATCGGTCTCGACTGCTGGAATTTCAATTTTAAATTGTTGCTGTTGCTTCTTAGCATTATCTCCTTTTTTCTCCCTCTCTTCGTCACCACTATTATTATGTTTCTGGAATCTCGCGATTACTCCTTCACCACCAAGTGTAATGATTATCCCAATTATATTTGGATATAATTTACCGAGGGTTGTAAGGAGAGATTCTTTTGCCGTGGCGTAAGTATCCATCTTTAGTACTTCATCATCGCCATCATCACGGTGAATATTTGATGTCGCTTGACTTATTAATTGAATTGCCTCATGCTTATTTACTATGAGATAGTCAACAAGTTCAAAAGGGAATTCGCGAATAATATTTGGTGTAATTGGCGTTGGATTGAATACCACATGGAATCCTAAATGATAACAAGAAAGAAAATTGGTTTAAACGTACATGAATGATTTTCTCACAAGACATATATACTCTACCTTGTTCCTTTAATGCTTTCATAATCTCTCCGCCAGCACTAATCTCATTTTGTAAAATAACAACATCTCCTTGCCGAAAAATTGGGTTTATTTTTGCGACGTCTTGTACCGTTAGAAGATGGTTAGCCCCTGGAAAAAGAATGATCGCGTTATCGTGTGTCTCAGCTGAGACTTGAACTATAGCACGCCCTGTTGGCTAAATTAGATTTTGTTTGGTGGTTTTTTTTTCGTTATTATATTCTTTTAATTATAGCGAATGAATTCTCCTTTTTTTTTTCCTTACTTGGTCTTTAAGCACTTGAATATTCTCGATGTGAACTCCTTGCCCTCGCATGTAATCTCTTATCCAGACTCCATCACTACCGATTTTTCCGGCGTGATAAACACTAGCACCTGCCTAAATCATTATTCATTTATTTAATTGAACTAGTAAAAAAGTAAAAATTTTTTTCTATTGAATAGAAACCTTTGCTAAAGCGACTGATTGATTAGCACCTAAAGAAAAAATCAAGTATTTGGGTCAAATACGAGAACCAAAGAACAATTAAAAAATAACATTCGTAAAAATCATGTTATCCGATGATTTAGATTACACAGATCGATTCTCTCAGGAGGAAGTAAACTTGTTAATGCACCTTTTCCACCAGCACGCTGTCGATAATTGGTGCTGGTTAATGTCTCTCCTGAATTCACAATATAAGGCACGTCAAAAAAATCATCCTATGAATGATTTAAGAAAGGATAAACAGACAGATAAGCGGATAGAGAAATGGACACGCATCCAAAAATCATGTCATATTAATTAAAAATGCGCAAAGCCGGATGAGTTAACAATATGATCATCAATCAACGCGCAGAAAAACTTACAATGTTTATCGAGCCAAACACCAAGACTTTGCGGGGCAATGGCATGATGTCTTTTCATGCGATGAAAATGGCGAGTTTAACCCATATGACTATTAGTCAAAAAAAGTTAAACCATCATTCTCAGATAAACGTGATCGTTTGACTTTATTCAACCAATCAAAAACGTAGTGATTTTTTGATAACCACATCACCAGACTTTTTTCGATATTACTCGCACTTATAAATACATGGACTCACCACCTCCTCCACAAAGAAACATTTCAACTTCCGCAAGGAAACGACCTAAGTTACAAAAATCTCTTTCTACATCTGGTGTAAACCCTAGTGGGGGCGGTAATGGGGGAGGAGGACGTGGTAGAGGCAATAGGGGAGCTAGTCGTGGTGGAGGCAGAGGTAGCCGCGGTGGAATGAGTCGTAAATCGTCTATAGCACGAAAATCAATAATTTCACCAACGACTCCGCAAGAGCAACTAGGGTCGCCTTCTTCATCCACAGCTGCTACACCTGCCCCCACTTCACCAAGTGTCCCGTCAACGCCTGGAGTATCTGTGCCACCCACACCTCGTGGTGAATTCTTTGATACTCAACTTACGACCAATAGTCCCGAATCGAATAACCTCGAAGAAAAGGATAAAGATAATGACGAAGACGATGAAGAGAATGATGAGTTCGCCATGGACCTTGATCTGCATATGCAAGCACAAATGAAAAGATCCAAGGAAGAATTGAGGTGAATTGTTTGCTTGACGATTTTAAAATAGTCGGATGTCAGGATGTTCAATTCGATATCTTTTCTCATAGAGCCCTGCTTGAAAACTTTTCAGAAGAGCAACTGCAACGCTATGAAGTATATCGAAGATCTTCATTGAGCAAGCCAAATGTAAAAAGAGTACGTTTTTGCATCCATTTTTCTCTTTCAATTCATATATATAATTGCAAGATTTAAATTGAGTCATGATTATCGTGTATGATGAAATAAATAATACTTTTTTCAGTTAGTTGGTCAAATACTTAATCAACCGTGTTCACCTACAATGGCTTTCGTGATTGCTGGTTTCACAAAAGTTTATATTGGGGAAATCGTTGAACTAGGTTTATACTTGTTTTTATTATCAGAGAATCACATCATCAAGCGTCGTCGTAAATACAAATCATTTTTCTGTTATTTTTAGCACGTGAAATTCAGAAAGACTGGAATCAAACAGGACCTCTCACGCCAGAACATCTTCGCGAAGCAAATCGTCGTTATAAACAAGCAACAGGGTTCACATCAAGTAATTACCATAAAAGATTGTTTTGACAACAATCAACAGGGGCTATAAAAGATCAGGTTACAAAAATTTTTTTAATTTCCCTTCCTAGAATAATCTATGATCATCCGATGGTGATGGTATTCTAATTTGCTGACCTGGCTTGGGGTCGTATTTATTGTGTTTAAGCAGCGTATTTTGAGAAATAAAAAAAATATATATATACAATACAATATATATCGACATGAATTGAAATAAAATGAAAAAAAAACTTGCAAAAGAAACAATTATGGAATAGATAGTGATAATAGCGAACAAATTTAATAATTTGGTAATAATAATGTTGTTTAAATATTCACTGCTAAGGATTTTAATGCCTGCCAAGTGCGTGCACCTCTTTTCTCTATTTTCCCCTTTTCATTATCCTCGAATCCTATATCCATCTGTCCACTTACAACGTGTGTAAGGGTATGTAAATGTTTTAAAGATTCTCGTCGTGTTTTTGCAATCCCGTCAAATACTTCATTATTAGCCAGTCGTCGTAGGTAAAGTAACCATTGTTGTACACCAGGCTTTAATCGTGCCTCAATATCAAGAACATCGGGGATTGGCACATCTTTATTTTGCGAAGATAATTCCTCGATGATTTTCCAAATTAAGATACGACCTTCAAGCACAATCCGACCAACACAGAACTCCGCGAGATCATGAATTTCTTGTTTTAATTTACAAAATTCATTAGTTTCCTCTTCACAATCATCTGCATTTTTTTCTTGGATTCCTTTTATGATTGCAACGTAAGCACTATCAGCAAATCGAGCTGAAGCTTCAATTTTTCCGTACATCAATAAGGCGTAGGAGAGTAATCCCATTTCAATGATTTGTTTGTTATTGTTATTCTCTTTTTTTGTAAATAACTTTAATTGATTAATAATATTCAAACCAGTATTGTTCTGCTTACGAGCGAAAGTGGCAAGTGCATATCCAACCAGCGTGTACCAATGTGCCAAAGATGATGGACTGCTCACTCTCATAAGTTCAGCAAAAGAATATCCTTTTTTGTTGCTACTCCTCTTTCTCCCGTATTGCTCAGAAATGAAATTATAATATGTTTCTTTGAGCCGGAATAAAGCTTGAGCATCGGAAATTTTACAGAGTGGTGTTATAAGCGTGGTGATTTCCTCTTCATCACTGCTTTTCGAGATTTGACCTTTTTGAAAAGCAAGTTCGGCAATTTGATTCACTACTCCTTTCCATATATCACCGTTTTGATTACAAGTCAAGGCAACTTCGAGCCATTTTTCTTCGGCGCCGTTATATCCTTTATTTGCGATTGCTTTTTGCCAAAAATGAGCTGCAGTTTTTCGTGCAATGTATGGGAATGAACTGAACCCAATGTAACATTGTATAGCCGCGTTGGCGTATATACGTGAGGGATTTGGTGCACATGGACCAGAATTGTTGCTAAAGATGAAGTTGGCTGCCTCCAAAAGATTGACTGTGCGAAAAGCGGTGTATAAAATAGAGAAACGAGAAACCTTTTCATTGCCTTGAAAAAGCGTATCAAATTAATATAGAATTTCCATGGGTAAAATCAATATTTTATATTCTAGTAAAAATCAACAAACCTCCACATAATTCAACTTCACCAAGTCGACCCCAAAGGCTAATCTCCGAGTCAATATCTCGACAAAATGCGCCGCGAAATATTCCCCATCCAAGAATTCTTCGAGTCAATAGTTGGAATAATTCGGTAACGAATCCGAAAAAGAATCCCATAATATTCGTTGGATAAGGTGAAATCATTCTTGAGATAGATCGGTGCAATTCTTTGGTATTCTTACTTTTAGCAGCCAAAACAGACATAACGGTTTGCTTTGAATTATGAGCGCGTGGAGGATGATTCGAAAATAACGAAGGTCTCAATATGTAGATTAAACATAACAAGCAAGTGAAAATTCTTGCTAAATACCTGCAGAATATTTAAAGATATTAGCATTGTTGATGTATTCACCAAAACCATCAATTAATTAATTTATACACACCAAACGTCAATTGTAAGAGTTCCATCATTAGCAGAGAACCCGGTAGTAGCACTACTCTCTACGATATTCTCATTAGAAGACAATCCCAAAGCACGTGCCGGTGCATGCTGATGTGATTCGATAGAATGGTTGTGGCCATTATCAGATTGGCCGTATTGAGATGGTGAGGTAAAGAAAGTCACAAACATAAATAATGCCATCAATGCTCTTGGACTAGTATTTCCATTACGGGTATCAGATTCAATCGGTTCAGGTTTGTTTCTAGGAGATCGGATATCACCCGAACCGGAATCATCACCAACAGGTGTATCGAAATATTTGTGATAAAGTTCTACGCCACCAGGTAGAATTTCAACGATTTTCTTTAAGATATCGTTTTCCACTTTCAATTGCTGGTTACTCTTTTTCAGGTAATTAATATATTCAGTAGCTTTCCTTAATATCGTGGCTTTATTCAATTTAGTGGCGGCGGGAATGCCATCAACTTCGTCATCATCATCATCATCCTTGCTATCTTTACTCTTAAGATGACATAAAGCTGGCACGACATTCTTGAGATCATTAATTCTATCATTAATGTTATTCCTGTAGCGACGTTCTATTGCATTATGTGCAACTTTCTTTTGTTGCTTATTGGGCTGTGGTTGTGAGTTGTTGGTTGGTTGTGAGCCAATTGGAGGCTTAAGACGTGTAATTGGAAGTTTTGTGGCTGCGTTATTGTTAGCATTCGCAGTGGCAGTGGCAGAAGAGGAGTTGCTTGTATTTTGGTTGCTGCCGATGGCCGTTGTGTTATTTGTCTCTTCTCGTGATGGTAACGAAACTATTATAGGATGACATCGTCAGAAAATATTCACCACAGAATCAATCAAGGAGTAATATTAATACTTACGAGATGTCCCATCTTGTAATGCCGTAGGATTCAAAGTTTGTACGTAATTTGATTGTGATGAAACAGGATGAGTGGTGGTAGTAGCACCTGACCATACCCCTTGACCAAAAGTCAATAATGTACTCGCGTTAAAATTATTAGATAACTGGGCAGGATTAACAGTAGGTGATGAGCTAGGAACCAAGATACTTTGTGTACCATTAAGATTTGCTGCAGTTCCATCAGGCAGACACATAATCGGAACAGCGAGACCTTGAGCGAACGAATTTGCAGTGGTAGAGGTTTGATCGACAGGTTCGTCCTTAACTAACTGTTTCTTTTTGCTTAAAGATGATATTAAAATATCGTTATTATTTAATGTTGATTTTTTTGTGGATCGACCAGCATTGGAATTTCGTTGCTTCTTATTCCTTATATTATCAAAATTTTCGCGTTCATCATCCTCATCAAAAATAACATCCCCTCCTATCGTTTGTCGTTTTCTTGCATTCTCCGTCTGAGAGATTGTTGCCGTAAACTCCATTTTAGTTGGGAGCAATTGATCAAATGGTTCATCCAAGCAGGGATAGGCAAATTCTGACGCTATTTGATCAGTTGGATTAGCAAACTCGGACAAATTATTAAATGACGGTGGTGACATGGCAGGCAATGACTCGTAATCGTCGCCAGTAGTATAAGAGTTTGGCGAATGAATTTGCGCGAAACTTTCTGGAGAACTCAACGAAAGCATTTCTGGGGTGAAAATAGTCGTATTATCCAGCGAGGAGGCCGCCTCATCACTCCAAAGATTTGTGAAACCCGTGTAATCATTAGCATTAGATGAAGAAATCAATTCAGCACCGTTATTTGCCAATAATGCCTGTAGTTGAGCATTAAATTCGGCTAATGTGGCGGTTGGAGGCTGAGGTTGAGGCGATGGTGGTGGTTGTTGTTGTTGCTGCTGCTGCTGCTGCTGCTGTTGTTGCTGCGAAGCAGGTTGATTATTGCTCCCAAGGGTATTAGGAGTAGCGTATTCGTTGTCAAAGTAGCCTTCATACATAAGTAAGCTTTGTATTTCGTTTGTAGGTTGCATTGCAGAAAGGACGGGATCACTTTCGTACATCATTATATTTACAACATAAACGTGTTCCAACAAAAAATATAAAAATAAATAAAAAAGAAATGATAGATACGAATAGTGTCTTTCACTTCACACAGGTAAATATCCTCTTTGGATTTTACTTGTCATGGAATGGAAACCAGACTTGTTTGGAGAAAGAGAGCGAGCAAAGGCGCGAGATCGAAGTATAATACGGAGAGATAACTTATACGACAAGATGTTTTTTATGGGAAATATAAATCTTGTATAGCTTATATTGCCCTTTTGAGTAGTGTTTTTTTACGAACTGTCTATTTAAAAATTAATAGTGTCTTATTTATTATGGAGACAATTTTTCAAGTCAGTTAAGAGGACGAAAAAAAAGTGGTGTGAGAATTTCAAGAACAAATTGAAACATCGTCATAATTTTTTATTGGATGAATTTGGATCAGGCTATAGTTGATCAAAATATGACTCTAATTTCAGACAAACCTCGGTCCGTTTTTTATGACATATTTTTTCTCATATTAGTCAGTTAGGTTTTCTCCAGAGAGAATAAAAATACTTCACGGAAGACTCTTGAAGAGGGACTATTTTAAAGAAGAAAGGAAAGGATAAAAGATTTTGTGACGATGACGAAAGGTTTCGAAGGGAGATTATATGGATTTGTAGTGCACAGAAATATTCTATATTTTTTTTTTATCGTTTAAAATCCTCTTTTTGGAAATTAGTTGCACGAAAATATGGATTGGCGCAAATGAATCATTAATTAAATTCAAATTAGTAAATTTCATCTCTCAATTATTTATAAGCTAGGCCAGCACAGAAAAACTAAAAACTGAAAGCTTTACTTACCCTTGTGATAAGATTTAATATAAAAAAGCTTGAAATTGGCTTGATTTGACAAATTGAGTAATTCAAATGATTTATTTCAATCAATTCTAAGTTCTATTTCTAAATTTTGTGTTATTTTGAGTTTGTGTTGCAATTTAAACTTTATTTTATTCTCTATTCATCTTTATTATAATGCTCTTGATTGTATGTTCAATGTCATCATTCTATCTTTTCTTCTTTTTCTTATATGTGGTTAGATTCTTATAATAATTGCTATTGTTTAGTTTTTTAAAGTTTTTAGCTAAAAAAAAAAAAAGTATTTAATTTGATTAGTTAGCTATAAAATTATAATTTATATTTTAAAATAATTTAATATTCTGAAATTCTTAATTTTCATATTCAAAATTCTTTTATTTTTAATTTAATATTAGTTTATAAATTATATTGTAACATTATATATAATTTACTATATTAATTTTATCAAGAAAACTTATATAATTCTTTAAATTATTTTTGTCTTAAAAAATAATTCTTTATAGAAGTTTTATTTTTTCTTATTATCTAAATATAGCTAAATATATTATTTTTTATTTATAATTTTATTTTTTATATTTATATATCTATAAGTATCTTTTAAAAATACTACTTATTTAAATAATATATATTAATAATTATTTATTTTTTATATAATATTAATTTATTTATTTAAAGATACTATTTTTATTTTATAATAATAATAATAATTATCATAATAAAAATTAAGTTTTATTTATAAATTCTTATTTGTTCTTGAATTAGTTTTTTATGTAAATACTATTTTAATTACTTGTTATATCTTAAATCTTTTATATAAATTTTTCTAATATTTTCTAATATATAATAAGAAGATTATAATTTTAATAATAGTAAAAGTTTAATATTATATATTTATATATGAATTTATTATCATTTTATATATTATGAGCTGGTGCAAAAAGATTGATACACTAATATAAAAATCAATAATTACTTCTAATAAAAGTCATTCAAATTTTAATCAATCTTTATAATTTTTTTATATTAAGTAAAGAATAATTTAAATTAACTTTTTATATTATTTTAATTATTCTATTATA